AACGAGAATGAACATCATCTGTGAAGTTATTCATTATTTCATGTTATTTTTCTACAAAAACACTGCTATCAAATATTGACGACCCCAGCAAGAAGAAGCCTGACATCACTGGAAAATCAGGCAGAGACATACAGGAGGTTATGTCCCAGCTGCTTACTAAAATTGTCCTTTTGCAGGATGTACTTTAACAGGGTATTCCTACATCTTCCTTAATTCAGCAAAACTCATATGGCAATGATTAGAATTACCCCTCTCTTATCCCTATCTGGTACCTGTATTTGAACTGACTTAACAACTAGTTTATTACATACATACACATTAGTTCAAATAGGTAGAGTGACTGTGCCATATATGCAAATAGCTGCTTCAAATTCGCTGAAAAGAACATGGAATATGATAATGTATGTCACCCTCCTTTGTAACTTCTTATCATTCCCAAAAGGACTACTCCACCAAAAAATCTCTCTCCTACACAGAACATCTAAGTCTACATATCAAACTCTTTTTCAAAACAATAGCAGAAAATACGAAAACATCATACTTGATCATTCTGATCTGAACACATTTTCACTGTGACTACACCCTTACTGATACTAGTGCACCATACATAAAAAGGCACCAATAAATATGATTTTCCACCCTACAATTATTTTCCCAAAAGATGTTCCTATAATCAGTTAATCTTGTGAACAATCCTTACTAGAGGAAATTATCTGTATCAACATCACATATGAAAAAACAATGTTACCCAAAATTAATTAAAAAAAAAAAAAAAAAAAAAAAAAAAAACACTTAGCACAAAGTTCAGATCTTTATATCAATTTTCTTTAACTCTAATTCTGAAAGTCTTTTTAGCAAAGTACAAGGTGTACAAGCACATATTCCATGCCCTCAATAATCATATGACACAAACAAGAATAAAAATATCTGTAGCAATAAAACTGCTCTTCAAATATTTTTGTATGACATTAATTGTGAAAAGAAATGGATTGGTAATTATCGACTGTCTACAATTATTTCCCATTCCTGAACCAATCACAACTATTCAGTTTGATTATTGTTGACAATTACTATTATCTGTCTGTTGCTGCAATGGTTAATGCAAGTAGTTTCCTTGCAAACCATCTAAAGTAATATTTTTCATATCAATAATTGTGACGTGCTGGTTAAGATAAGCATTTTTTTTTTTATCAGTCTCACCACTCACATCAAGCAGTAAGAATATAAGGACTATTGTGATGGACATTATAGATAGCAGTAGGTTCAAGTTCAGTATGAATGACAAAGTTGTGGTACACATTTGTATCATTATGAAATGCTAAATACCAAACATCTAGCACCAAGTTAAATATAGTAACCCACTCCCTGTTTATATATCTATGAATAATCTTGTCTGTCTTTACATAAAGCAGGTACACAACTGTGCTCAATTTCAGTTACACTATGATGATGATAACCAACAATGAAGCACTAATGATAACCATCCTTTAATAATCGTGAAAAGTTGTAATATGTCACTTAGTCATTGCAATATATACTAATATGACTCCACATAGTGCACAATTAGATAGGCTTTATTATAAGCTTTAAGAAGTCTTACCAGGTGACTACTCTACTATTTCTGTACATGCAATTTCAGTAATTCAAAAGAATAAACTATTCACCTATCTTCTATAACTAACATTTGTGACAGACAAGGCAGTATCCTGTTTATAGACTGGCTATTCATACTGAATAAAAAGGGAGTTATTTGAATAAATGGTAGGAGTTACAACTCGTCTAGTATGACTCACCTTACCCGTGTATTTGTGAACCAAACAAGAAAAGAATGTTCAAAAATGGATACAGCAATAGTATTTGCCTACCATGAAGGAGTAAATTATATAAAAAACTCATCAATTGGAAGTTCACAATAACTTCATGTTCAGGGATCAGAACTGAATATCCAGAGTCAATATGCTTTATAATATATGTGTTGAGTGGTGTAGTGTCTATACAGGAGGGTATAATAGATGGGAAATACTATGGCCTAGCAAAGTGTTTGACAAAACAAACACATTGCACAGGTGGCCGTTATGATCATATTTACCTACATTATCGAGAAAACTTGTATCAAATTCATCTGTTCTACTTTCTAAAGCATCTTTCTTACAGAAGAAAAAATACATGTCTATATTGATACATCCACAGTTAAAGTGACTTTTCAGTGAAAATAAGAAGTTGATTACCAAAACTAGTTTACTTTCTTCTTCCTTGTTTTCTTTGCACACAGAGAACACTTCTGGTATTCATGGATCTGGATCAGACCCTTAAAAGATAGCTTTTTGTACATTTCCCTTGTTCATCCAAGAGCAGAGTTTAGAGGGCTGATATTTACCCTTAAAAATCACAAATTATTTATGTTAAAAGAATGATTGACAAAGGAAATATATTTATAATATCTGTTTGATTGCAGACCTTTGGTTATCTTGCAGACTTAAATTTTCAGCAATATCTGGTCGACAGCCTAGAACAGGCAGAACTGATAATGAAAATCCCTGCTATCTAGATACCTATTCCCAGAAATCAATGCCTCACTTGAAATTCAATCACAACAGGAAAGGAAATAAACTTACAAATGGTTCCTTGTAGTTTACACATACACTCCCCCTTTACAATGCTTCAAATACAAATATGAGGGCAAGCACTTTTCAAGTCTGA